AGTCTCACAACTGGCCTTGGATAAAACTCTCCCTCAAGGCCTCTCTGGTGAGCACAGTGCTCTTGGAATGGCACTGGTGTCCAGCTGCTCATATGTCCTGGCCAGATGTTCAGCCTCAGCCCCCAGCTAACAGAAAAGTCTCCCCCTAGCTCTCGCAAAGGTTGTGGGGCACACAGCCAGCTGCCACCACAAAGGGGATGTTGCGCTTGCTGAGGTCCAGGCAGGTGAGGAGACTCCTGAACCTCCCCTTTAAGCAGACAAAGGCACACTCCACCACTGTGTGGCACCTGCTCAGCCTGGCGTTGAAGTGCTCCTTGCTGGGGTCCAGGCTGCCTGTGTAGGGCTTTGGGAGCCAGGCGCAGGCTATGTCGCTCAGGATGCAGATGGGCATCTCCACCTCCCCGACTCTGGTGGTGCGGTTGGGGAAAAAATGCCAGCGTGCATCTTTCTGAAGAGGCAGGAATTCCAGAAGATGTGGGCATCATGTGCCTTCCCCCACCATCTGACATTAATATCGGAGAAGTGTCCCTTGTGGTCCATGAGGGCCCGCAGAACCATGGTGAAGTACCCCTTCCTGTTGATGTAGTCCAAGATATCGTGGTCAGGGTTCAGGATAGGGATGTGGATGCCGTCAATGCCCTCTCCCCTGCAGTTGGGGAAGCCCATGGCAGCAAAGCTGTCCACAATGGTGTCCACATTGCCCAGAGTGCCGACCCTCTGCAGCAGCACACGGTCAATGGCCTTTGCTACTTGTATGAGCATGGCCCCAACTGTGGATTTCCCAATGTTGAACTGGTTCCCAACAGAGCAGTAGCTGTCCGGCGTGGGGAGCTTCCACAGGGCAATGGCCATGTGCTTCTGCATGGGGATGGTGGGTCTTAGTCGGGTGTTCTGTCACCTGAGGACAGGGGCAGGCTACTCACAGAGCTCCAGGAAGGTGGAGCCACTGCTGGTTGTCCCAGAGCTGCAGGACAATGTGGTCCCAACAGTATGAACTGGTTTCCCACCGTCAGAAGTAGAGTCTCCGGGTGTCCAGGGGATTGAGGGGCATGTGCAGGAGTGCTAGGACCTGTGAGAACAGGGCTTGCAGTCTGGGCTGGCTCTCACCCTGCTGGAGCAACATGCGGACAGTCTGGAACTCCTGTGCCATAGATGCAGCACGAGGCCTGTGAGCCTGGCACTGCTTTGCAGCAGCTCTGGCTCCAGGCTGTGAATGCTGTGGCATCCGCAAGGGCAATGAGAGCACGAGAAGGTGCATGCCCATGATGGGGGGCCGAGATGCGGTTGTAGAGGGGAGCCCCTGTAAACACACATCACAGCTTGCCTGACTAAGCAGCCACAGGAAGTATCTGCCCTCCTGGTGTACTCCCCAGCATGCTTCCGAGAGGTAGGGGGGAGGGGAAGGGCTGTAAGTCTGACGCAGGCTCCAATCAGTGTGGATGCGCTATTACGAAATAATTCTGACTAATTTTGACGTTTCCCCATAGTGGAGACCTGCTATTTTGATTTTGTTATTTTGGGAGTTATTTCGATTTTACTTATTTTGAAATAATTTCCTAGTTTAGATATGCCCTAAGTGTGAAATAAGCATGTCCATACAAGGATTTAGGGTCTGGCCATACTTACCAGGGGATTGAAGCTATGGTGATCAATCTCCTGGGTGTCGATTTAGCTGGTCTAGTGAAGACCCACTAAATGGACCACTGAGCACACTCTCATTGACTCTGGTATTCCGCCAGAGTGACAAGTACAAAGGAAGTCAATGGGAGAGTTTCCTCCCACAACGATAACAACTTGACCTAAGGAACATCAACTCCCGCTACATTATTCATAATCTGGAGCTGCATACATTTGGTCGACTTTGCCTCATAATGTAGCCCCACATTTAGTGTGGAATACCTATTGCATTTTAAATTCTCACCTTAGCTCATTCTTAGCCTTTAGACTTTTGTAAGGCATCTGACTCAATACCACACAACATTTTGATTAAAAAATGATCACAATGCAATATTAACAAAGCACATGGTACATGGATTAAGAACTGGCTGACAGATTTCAAAAAACAGTGGTCAGTGGGGAATCATCATCAAATTAGTGTGTGTTTTTAGTGGGGTTTCACCGACATTGATACTAGGCTCAATACTTTACAACATTTTCATTGATCTGGAAGTAAATATAAAATTTCTGCTGATAAAGTTTGAGGATGACACAATGATTGTCTGAGTGATAAATAATGATGAGGGCAGGGAAGTCCTATAGAAAAATCTGGGTCACTTGGTAAACAGGACCTGTTCAAGCAATATGTGCTTTAATACTGGCACATGCAAAATTAGAGATGTAGGAACAAGGAATGCTGATAATAGCTGCAGAATGGGGGATCATGTTCTCAAAAGCAGTAACTCTGAAAAGGATTTTGGCCTCACAGTGGACAAATTATTGAACATGAGCTCACAGTGATGCTGTGACATGGAAAGACTAATGCAATTCATGGACATATCAACAAGGACGTAATGAATAGGAGATGGGAGCAGGGATGACATGGTATGTACCAGAAGTGGGTTTCACCAGGTTTCCTGGGGTGCGTTTACACTGCATTGTAACTCGAAATAAGGTATGTAATTGGAGCTATGCAAATTGCATATTTTATTTTGATGCTATTTCGAAATAATTTATTTCATCATTTGGCGCTGCAAATTTCAAAGCAAAGCATCAAATTTCAAAGAAAAGTGCTATTCTGAAACGTCCCTTACTCCTCGTAGAATGAAATTTACAGGGATGTCGGACTAGTGATCCTGAAATAACGGGCTTGCTGTGAAGATGCGGGATAGCTATTTCAGGATACTCTGGTATCCTGAAATAGCGTTGCAGTGTAGGCATATCCCTGGTTTTTACCATCTCAGGAAAAAACTAGTTAGTTCCAAGGTAAGGCATTTTCTGTTTTAAAAAGTGTTTCTTTAATGTACGCTGTATTCTACTCAGTTTTATTCACATATTCAAATTATGGTCAGAGAAGGCAGTAGATTTCTAGATTAATTTGGAGTTGTACAAATAAAAAGTAAACATGCAGTGGGTGTAATACTAATATATATAATTATAATACTGAGCATTTGAAATACATGTATATGTACCAGTTTGGTATTTTCTCAATGAAGTTATACATGTCATGACTCATTTCAGTTTTCAGTATTATATAAACAGAAGTCAAAAACTTGATTATATGAAAACGACACTAATGCAGAATCTCAGGCTTGAAGCATTAAGCAATCGGAGACATGCAGAGTTGCTGACTACTAGTCTGCTACTAGTTCAGGTCCAGTTGGCCATGCTGCATCCTATAGCAGAATTCCAACTCTGAGGTAGTGGACAGACCACTCCTACTCCTCAGTTTTGAAGGGATGTGTTCAGAGTTTGAAAAGATTCCTTCTAAATTTGCTGACCATTGATGCCATTATTTCTCCCATTTTAACCAGGCTTTAAGCCAGTACCCTGTCCTACACTAGTTTGCCCTTGGAAATTGCCAGCTCGGGTAAGGAGGTGGTTGTACCTCTGTACATGGTATGTGTGAGATAAATACAGGAATACTGCATTCAGTCTGGTGTCCACATTTTAAGAATTTATGTTGGAAAACTGGACAGGCTGCAGAAAAGAACCACAAATCCGAGAGCTGGAGAGAATGCTGCACAGGGAGAGACTTACCAGAGAGAGTTTATCAAAAAGAACACTGACTTGATTATGGTGGATAAGTATCTTCACAGGGAAAAATGCTGGGTGCTGAAGGGCTCTTTATCTAGAGCAGGGGTGGGCAATAATTTTTGATGGGGAGCCACTCCAGGATTTTGGAAAGGGATCAAGAGCCGCACTCTTTCATGGCATTAATGGAGGAGGTGCGGGGTCTGGGATGGAGGTTGGGTGCAGAAGGGAGCTTGGGGTAAGGGACTGGGGTGCAGGAGAGTGACTGGAGTCTGGGAGGGAGTTGGGATGAAGCAGGCGGTTGTGTCCTAGGACAGAGGACTGGGGTGCAGGGTTTTGGGATGTGACCTAGGGTAGGAGGGGATTGTGATCTTGGGCAGGAGATTGGGGTGCCAGATCTGGGAGGGGATATGGATGCATGTGGAGCTGAGGGGCAGGAGTATGGAGCAGAGGGTTGGGAAAGGGGGAGCGGGGACTGGGGTGCCAGAGGCAGGCAGTAGTGGGAGGACAGAGGGTTGGGGAAGGGATGCCAGAGGCAGGTTCTGGCCAGGAGGCTTACCAGCCAGCAGCCAAACCAGCCTGCCTGCCTGCAAAGCTAAAGGCTTGCAAAGCTTAAAACATTTCTGCCTGCTCGGCCATGTGCTTGACTGAGTAACTGAGCAGGAGGGTTGTGCTTCGTGCTCTCATTGGCCAGTTTCTGTCTAAAACCCAGCCAATGGGATTGTGCTGGGTATGGGAGCAGCATCTTAATCTTTCCCCCTCCCTTCTGGACTCAAAAAGAGAAAGTACCCCACAGCTGCATTTCTGAGCGGCACGCGTGTCTGCGGGACAAGCAGGGGAGGCTGCCTGGGGCGTCCCACTGCCTTCATGGGCTGGATCCAGTGGCTTGGTGGGCTGGATGCGGCCCACGGGCCATATTTTGCCCAGGCCTGTTCTAGAGAAAGCTGTAACAAGAACCAACACCTAGAAGCTGAAGCTAGATAAAGTGAAATCAGAAATAAGCCACAGCATTTTAACAGTGACGGTGGAGGATCCTACCAGTGGAGGAGTCTTCATCCTGTATCAGTGCAGGAGATCTGTCTAGAAAATATACTTTAACCAAATACAAGTTCTTGGGCTTAATACAGGGATACGTGGGCAAAACTGAAGGCCAGACTAGATTATCTAAATGGCTTGTTATGGCTTTAAACTTTATGAAATTATGACACACATTCCTGGCCTTGCTGAACTCTGATGTAAAACCCATTATGGCAGGCACTGTTTAAAGTGATGGCAATAAGAAATCGTGACTGGATGTTGTGTCCTTGCAGGGAATGAGGTGATTGCAGTGGATTGGAAGGGATTGAAAGATGTGGACCAGATTAATATGGATAGCACCAGCTCACTGCATGGCAGCAGCATCCACCGACCCTCCACAGAGGTGAGTGTCCATCCTACGCCTAATGGGAGAAAACTAGAATTTTCTCAACCCCACTGAACACATACAAGGGGCTGAGGTAATCAACCTCAGTTGGGAAAAGACACAGAAGTCTTACTTGCACAGTGGGAATTTTGATTTTTCAGTTGAACAGCTGAAAATTGAGATACCTGAAATCAGAGGCTACATTTGAAAATCTGGACTTAGTAACGTTTCATAGATAAGAGTGCTTGTAACATTTCCCAAGTGTCCCTACAGTAGAAAATGAAAACTAGCTCAGGGTGAGTCTGAATCATTTCCATCTGAATTACTTTAATGACGGCTTAGGGCTGACCTACACTATGGACTAAAGTTACCCCAGGTTACACAACTCCAGCTATGTGAATCTACCTTAGGTCATCTACCTGCAGGAGAAACTCTCCCATTGACTCACCTTAAGCTTCTAATTCTGGTGAAGTATCAAAGAACACATATTAGGTGATCAAATGATCTCTGCAGCATTTATCCAGGCTGTGGATGGGAGGCCCTGGCATTGAAGCTATATCTTCTTTACAGAACAGAGCTACACTGTTAGGGGAAAACAATGAGCGTTTTAGTTTCTCCTTATGTTTTTAGCGGATATTCACAGTTAAATCTCTGCTGTTAAATTATCCTATAGTATCTCCTGTGCTGATTCATTTCTTGGTTTGAATGATGCTCCTGTAATTTAACACATCTGAGTTTTCTGCTTTGTAATGTCCAGCGCATGCAATCATGAGACCTTTCATATTAAACAAAAAGATCAAGGTTCTTTTTACTCAGTAGCTATGCCATATTCATTTACAAAGCACATACAAAGTAACAGGATATAAAAAGTGCATCTTGATTCAGCACTTCTTCAACTGTGGAGCGTAACTCCCAGAATCTCTTCTTTTAGGGAGCTGTGTCACAAACTGGGGAGATCTTCAGTGAATTAGCACTACACTGACTAAAGGGGACACTTAGAACTGGCTTGCTGAAGGAAGATTGGCTTAGTGCAGATGCAATTAACCACTTCAGGAACGAATGGTTTTGTAGCCTGTTATAGAATCATGTACCTGAAATTTCCCCTTGAGTGATTTCAAGGGTTATGCACTTGTTACTGCCCGGAAATAAGCATCTGACAAATTCACCCTCTTTGAAAATATCTGAACTTGCCAGTGCTCAGTGTTGAGTGAAGGAAGGCAGTGTGTGAATGCAGGGGGCTCCTATCTGAGGGTTATGTATTGTCTGTATCTCTTCCTTTTTCCTTCTCTGTTTCTTTGTTTATTCCCAATCATACATCATGGCCGCATACATACAAACACCACAGTCACCAGGAGACAATGAAGCCGGGACCTTCAGCACCAAAAGCACAAGCCCATATCACTTGAGCTAAAGGAGTAACTCCTTTACCTGTGAGTAAGTAGCAGGCTGTTATAATCATTAGGACCAGCCACTAGAGAAATACATGGTCGCACACACTATACCTTGTGTTACATTAACATGTTCTCTTTCTTCTCTTCCATAGCAAACCCGGACAGATTTCTCTTGGGATGGTATTAATGTGAGTAAAAGCCCTGCATGCAGCCCTCCTCCTTTCATGAGATACAGCAAAGGAGCATTTGCACAGCTGATCAGGATGTTCAAGTTTCCCCCCCATGGCAGCCCAGGATTATCAGAATGTATCTAATTCTGTCACTGTGACTAGAGAACATAATTATGGAGTGATCTCTGAGATCCTGGAGTGCCACTGTAAATCTAAGCATCATTATGGAGTGTCTGGCTGTTTATAGACCCTGCAGTAATATTTTGGGGTATGTCTACACTACAGCACTAATTCGAACTAACTTAATTCGAATTAGTTAATTCGAACTAGTGCATCTAGACCTAAAAACTAGTTCGAATTAGCATTTTGATGCCCTGCCGGCACTGCTTCCGGCCATCCTTAAGCCTGGTTCAGGGTCCACTTAATGTGGACATGCTAGTTAGAATTAGCAAAACGCTAATTCGAACTAGTTTTTTAGTCTGGATCCGTTAGTTCGAATTAGCTTAGTTCGAATTAACTAATTTAATTAACTAAGTTAGTTCGAATTAACGTTGTAGTGTAGACGTACCCCGAGACTTTTCAGCTTAGAAAAGAGGAGACTGAGGGGGGATATGATAGAGGTCTATAAAAGCACAAGTGGTGTGGAGAGGGTGCATAAAGAAAATTTCTTCATTAGTTCCCATAATAGAAGGACTAGAGGACACCAAATGAAATGAATGGGTAGCAGGCTTCAACTAATAAAAGAAAGTTGTTCTCACAAAGCAAATAGTCAACCTGTGGAACTCCTTGCTGCAGGAGGCTGTGAAGGCTAGAACTAGAACAGAGTTTAAAGAGAAGTTAGATAAATTCATGGAGGGTGGGTCCATGGAGTGCTATTAGCCACGGGGTAGAAATGGTGTCCCTGGCCTCTGTTTGTGGAAGGCTGGAGATGGATGGCACGAAACAAATGGTTTGGTCATTGTTTCGGTCCATCCCTTCCAGGGTCCCTAGGGTTGGCCGCTGTCTGCAGACAGGCTACTGGGCTAGATGTACCTTTGGTCTGACCCAGTATGGACATTCTAAGCCAGTGGTCCCCAACACGGGCCATTTGTGTGCGCCCGCCAAGTGCTCGGGGCTGGCCTGGCCCCGGGCACATGGTGCATGCGCTCTGCCGGAGCAGGCCCGGGTGCATGGTAAGTGCCGGCCCCGGGAGCACCGCGAATTGGCCGCTCGCGCCCCGGGCGCGCGGTGCTTGGGGGGGCGCCAGCCCCGGGCGCGCGGCGCTTGCAGGGGGGGGCCCTCCTGGCCCTGAGCATGCGGCTATAGGTGGGGGGGCCCCCCGGGTGT